GAGGCTCAGGGGAGACCTTATCACCCTCTACAACTCCCTGACAGGAGGTTGGAGTCAGGTGGGGGTTGGTCTCTTCTCTCAGGCAACCAGCAGGAGGACAAGAGGGCACAGACTCAAGCTCTGCCAGGGGAGGTTTAGGTTGGATATTAGGAAGATTTTTTTTACAGAGAGTGTGATCAGACATTGGAATGGTCTGCCCAAGGAGGTGGTGGACTCACTATCCCTGGAGGTTTTCCAGATGAGAATAGATGTGGCACTTAGTGCCGTGGTCTAGTAACCATGGTAGGTTTGGACTTGATGGTCTTTGAGGTCTTTTCCAACCTGGTTGATTCTATGATTTCTCTGTGTATGTAACCCAGATCTGATGTCCTGTGCGTCTCTCAACATTTGTTATAAATTCTTCTTGTAGTGATGTGGTAATGTTGATGATGTGTCACGAAACAAGTGAAATAGCATTCAAAAGGCATTTGAGCAGACGTAACTTGATCATACGTGAATTCTTCCAGTCAGGCAGCAAGTTTGCCATTGGTGGGAAATTTTTTGAGATGAGTAATTTGAACCCTGTGCTCCTCAGCTTCCTGACTGTAAATGGAGACCATGCAAGTAGGGGCAGTGAGGCAGGGTAAGTATTTATGGAAGAGACAAGGAAGTATCAATGTCATTGAGCAAGTCATGGGCAAAGCTTCCTCTGCAAGGTCTGTGGCTCTTGATATGTACAGTCCATAAAACTGTTTCAAATAGGAGAAAATATGAAGAAAACCATGGGGATGATGCAGGAAAAGGATAGCTTGTCTTAGGAGAAGACTTGAGAAGTAACTTTGGCCTTGTAAATATGTCAGGGCATAAGTGCCAGAGAGGAAAAGTTGTTTCAGCTAAAGCATATTACTGGTGTAAGAATAAAGGGATATAAACTGGCCAGAGGTATTCTGTCAAATTAATATAACCTAGCTCCGAGCACAAGGACTGAGGTAAGCAGAGGAGATGGGATGGACACATCCACTCTGCTGGAAGGAGCTAGTGGCCAGGCCAGGGATGAGACTGTTGTGGGGCTCCTGGGGGTGAGCAGAAGTGATGGGCCACTAAAAGGATGTTTTTCTGGCTAGAAATTTTTCTGAGCCCTGGGACTGACCAACAGTGCTTGTAAACTGGGATTAGACACCGTCTACAGAAAGTAGCTGGGCAACAGCATT